AATAAATATAAAATATTTGTTAAGATGAACACCTAATGAGCAAGTCACCCCAAATTAACTTGTTTGGATTAACTATAAATGTGACTAATATGGTCATTAGTTCATTATTTTAGTAGATCTTTTTTTAAGATTTCGTAAATAAATAATCGTCTTAAATCAACAGTTTTTTCCCCGTTTAGCTTAAACGTTTGCTCTGACTTAGAATTAGAATCAGCCTTCACTATTGGCTAGCAGTGGCGGCGCCAGGGGGGTGCTAGGGGGCGCTATAGCTACCCCTGGATTAGTCATTGCACCCCCAAGTAAGTATTCAATTTATTTTTTTTTTACAATTTAATTTTTAGTTAACGTGTGGATGTGATAATATTTAACATACAAAACAAAAATAACCAGTAAATTATCATAGTAAAAATCTAAACCAAAACAGGAAATTGGTGTTAACCTTTGACCTCATTTTCCACCTGTGAACGAGTGAAAGGTAGAGCTAGCTAGTGGTAAAATGGATCGTTTTTGTTGCCCACATTTCCACGGGTTCAGTCAGAAACAAATGAATGTTTGGAAGTGATCTCAGACCCACAAAAACCTACAGATCTGGATGAAGAGAGTCAACCCTCAACCGCTGCAGCAGTCCAGGGTTCTGCCGCTGGAAATGCTAACACTAACGTTAGCTAACCTTGCAACACTATAGACGGTTTTCTGTGTGGCTGTATGTGTTCATGATTTTATGGAAAAGTCAGTGATTGTTCATATGTTTATGATGTGTATTAATGATTAATCATTATTATTATCATAATTGTTTCAGGTGTTGTTGAGGTGTTGTGCACGCATGTGTATCTGCTAGTGTTGAAGGTGTTTAGAGAACAATAGGTACGCACGACCACTTCCTTCATAGCACCCGCAATAAAAAGACTAGCTCCTTCATAGCACCTGCAGAAAAACATTTCTGGAGCCGCCACTATTGGCTAGGCTGGTGTTTCTATGGTAGCCGGTATTTGTGACGTGGCTGCTCTAGAGCCGAGTCCCAGCCATGCCTCCGACACGAAATGACTCGGCCCAGAGCCGCTCTCCTCCTTCACCAGGCCTTCCCTTCTCCTCTCTCTCCTCTGGACAAGACCAGGAAGCCGTGCGCTGTTTAGTTTCTCTGCTCTCCGTGGCTCATTTATTAAACAGGTGTGGGCTGAGTAAGGCTCTGGCTGGGGGTGACTTGCTCTTTAAAAAATATTACTGCCAATCTATCCACGAAGCCCCAGCCACGAGGTTAGATGGGCTTAATTTCAAAGACGCTAAAAAAGTAGAAGAGATGTTGATTAGAATGAAAATAAACGGCCTCGAAACTAAACTGGACAGAAGCGAGTGCCTCGCTGACGATCCTAAAACGATGATGAATAAAACAAAAACAGCGGATTGTGGCCAAATCTTGTGTCGGATCACCAGGATGTATTCAGCGGGCGTGTGTGTGTGTGTGTGTGTTTCAGGGACGTTCTGGGGACAGTTTGCATAACGAGTCCCTTTAGCCGCGCCCCGCTCGGCCCGCTGTTGCCCTCAGAGACCGTGGACCGACTGGAGCTGGACTGTCTGAACTCGGTCCGGGTGAGCGGATCTGACACGCTCCACGCTAACTGATCATCAGAGTGTGCACTGAGCTGTGGTTGACTCAATGTTTGTGCGCTCCTGAGCAGGCAAAGGTGACCACAGAACTGAGCCAGGTTCTGGATGAGGAGGAGAAGAGGTGGATGGAGAATCTGAACGTTGAAGAATACCAAATCAGTCTGGCCAAAAACGTCATACAGGTATCCAGTTTGTGGTCATGACGCAGTTTCCTTGTTTCCTGAGTTTGTTCTTGAGCTGCTTTCAAGCACAAACCGTCATGTCTGATTGACTGCTGCCCCCTCGTGGCCAGTTAGCCTAATTACTGCAAAGGTTTTGTCAAACTTTTATGACAAACAGAAAATTCAAAGAGAATGAAAACATTCATTATTGTCCCTCAGTTTGAAAATGCATCAGCTCTTCATGAAAACTCAGTAAACAAACCCACGTTGTGCTCTGATGTCCGTCAGAACCTCTTCAGATTAAAGACCTGCTGACTTTGTGTTTGGCTCAGAGGTTGCAGGTGGACCTGGAGCGCTCCGCCTCCATCAACAGGTCGTTGGGCTCCAGAGTGGCTCAGTGCAGCCTGAACGGACTGGCTGACTTCCTGTACAGGTCCGGTACCTCCAGAACCAAATATCAGACACTACCTCACATATCTCAGCTGGGTCTTTCACATGATGATGTCATCACAACATTTAGTTTAATTTAAAGTGACCAAAGGGTTCAGAGGTCACCTGGATGAGCCTCCAGCTGCCTGAACAACAGCTTTTCGATATCTAAGCACGTGAGAGGTAGACGGGGGGCCGTGCGTATTTTATACGCTCGAATTAAAATAAAAATAAAATGCCGAATAAATAATGTTTCTATAATTAGAACACAAAATACAATATTTCAATCATACATAAACAATAAATAAAATATATTATAAATATGACGTTTCGTTAAAAACAGTATAAATTATTTGAATGAAATGATAATTAAAATAAAATTGATTGCATTAAAATAAAACAAAAAACTAAAGTTAAAAACATCTTAAATAGAATTAAATTGGAACATGAAACATTCATTATAAATGTTTACTTTTCTATGAATTTGTTAAAATGTTTTTATTAGAATAATTAAAAAATGTGACTGAATGTTTTTACCGGATGAACCTGATTGGACCAACCTGTGCTGAGGATCAGAACTCACCTCTGTTTGAGTGGACCTTCATGTTGACCAGAACCGCTGATCCGGTTTGTTGCAGCTTCCAGAGGAAGGTTGAGATGTTCCACGAAGGGATGCAGAGCGGCATGTTTGGAGAAAGCGAGGATGGCTACACGGCCAGAACCATCGCCATGGTCAACTGCTGTCCCCCGTTTAGGTAGGAACAGAGACGGGTCGGACCCTCTGGGAAGCCAGTCCGAGCCCCTCCTTCAGAACCTTAAACAGCTGTGGGACAAAGGTGCTTTAAGGTGGATTTGTGGTCAGCCGTAGACCACATCTCACTAACTGTGTGTGTGTGTGTGTGTGCGTGTGTGTGTGTAGAGGTTTTGTGCAGCGCTGTGCTCAGTGTGACCCGTCCGTCAGCGAGGACTCTCTGAAGCGGGCCAACAGGTCTCTGGACCTCATCGTCCAGCAGGGTGTCAGAGTTCTGTCAGAGAGACTCTACCTGCACATCAGGGTAACACACACACACACACACACACACACACACGCACACACACACGCACACACACACACACACACACACACACGCACACACGCACACCAACACCCACACACACCCACGCACGCACACACACACACAAACACAAACACACACACACACACACACACACACACACGCACACACACACACGCGCACGCACGCACGCGCACGCACGCACGCGCGCACACACACACACACTCCTGTTTGTGCAGCATGAAGATCATCTGAAGTAATTTAATTTATTGACGGAATCTTTGATGAAACCATCAGAACCAGTCGGGTGTAAACAGAACAACGTTTCTTTTTTGCATGTGTGTGTGTGTGTGTGTGTGTGTGTGTGTGTGTTAGAGAGAGAATGAGTGTGTCAGCTTTGACCTGATGGTTCCTTCATAGCAGCATTCTGCCTTGAAACGGTTCCTGCTTGAGTCCTTTAACCTGACAGGCAAAACCCAGGGCAAAGTGTGAGCAGATCTCTGGCTCTCAAGGATCTGCTGGTGTTTGGGTTGGACCACATTCAGTCCGTAACCCCTCCCCTCTGGTTTCTGAACACTGCAGATGTTTTTTGAGCGTCTGGTGAAGAGGAAGTGGCTGAGTAACACAGAACCCTACGAGCAGATCGAAGCCCTCATCAAGGAGGACTTCAAGAAGTATTGCAGGATGGACAGTCCTCCTTATCAGGTACATTCTCACCTGGTCCAGGTAGGGTCAGCTGATGCAGATACACTCACCTGGCCCCGCCCTCTGTGTGTCTGTGATCTCCAGTTCCTGGTGGCTGAAGTCCACCGGCGGGTGGTGATGGAGTACCTCCGCTCCGTCATGAGGGGCAGGATCATCTGCACCTCCATGAAGATGAGGAAGAGGATGGCTGGTCGGCTCAGAGATGAAGGCAAACAGATCAAAATCCTCTTTAAAGACCTGGTTAGTTCCTAAATGTTCTACATGTCCTCCCGTCCTCGGTTTCAAATGTTCGAAAGAGACAGAAAACCAGGAAGCAGCGGAACCGCCGTCCGCGGTGCCTTCAGGCTCCTCACATATGTTTGATTTAAACTTGAAAGCTGATTTTCTTTATGCTGCAGGAGTCTCCGTCCAGCTGGTTGGACAGCGCCCTGTCTCGTATCTCAGAGATCATCCAACTGGAGGACGTCCCGTCCATTCAGATGGAGGTCGGAGTTCTGGTCCAAGAGTTCCCGGACATCAGGTACGCAGCAACGAAACGTAGACGAGTCAGGCAGAACAAAGCGATGGAAGACTGGAGTATGGGTGTGTTCGTCTGAGACTGAACGTCCGGATAACTGGATAAAACTCTGCCCTTTAACCCCTCCCCCACAAATACCCTTGTGTTCAGGAAGAAGCACGTGTCAGCCATCTTGAACATCCGAGGAATGACTCGACAGACGGAGCGCCAGGAGATTCTGAACATTGTCAAAGATATTGAGAGCAGCGACGCCGGCCCGAGTCCCCTGTCCCGGGACCGGGCCCTCTTTGCGGAGGTACCGGTCACGTCGGAGGTCCACTGCCTGAACGTGGGACTGAGCCGGATCGCCCTCACGGCCTCGTCCTGCCTCTCTGCTTTCAGACCTCGCAGACGCAAAACCCGAACGCCGGTTCAGGAGAACCCAGAGGATGTTCTGTAATTGAGCCCAAACTCAATTTGAGAAGCAGAACTTTTTTACTTAAATTGTTCATTATTGGATGGAACCAGAACTCAGAGCGTTATAGAAAAAAGCAGGTCTGGTCGGACCCTTCTGGTTCGTTTGAAGTGCAACCCGTTTAGCCCGGCTCAAACTTGAGCTCCTCTCGATCCTGCCGATTCTTTTCACAGCGAATGAACAGTTCTTCAGTCCTTTTCACTGGATGAGCTCTTTAAATAATCTTAGAGTAGAGAATGAATCCAGAATAGCTCTCTGACAGGGGGAGGGGCTTGTTGGTAGAGGAGGAGTTTGTTGATGAGAAGGAGGCGGAGTCTCCTTTAAGAATGGAGACTCCAAACCTGATTTGGTTCCTCGTGTTTGATTCCCATTCCTGATAAACTGAAGGTCCATTGATCCGGTTTCAGGCTCAACAGAACCATTTTAATCCGATTCCGATCCAACGCTCCAGCAGGAACTTAATACAAACCACGACCATGTCTCAATCCCAGCTGTGGAAGCCGGACCGAGAGCCTGTAGCAGGAGGACCGGTGAGATCTTTGGAATCTGGGATTTATGGAGCAGTTTCAAGATTTACTGAGACTTAATCTAAAGGTACTTTTAGAGTTCAGAGTATTTAAATCTGATAATGTTTGGAACTTTTATTCATCTTGATCTGTAAAGTAAATGTACCACAGACCGTCTGGTGTTGGTCGACCTTGCAGAGATGATCAAAGGGAGTCTAACTCTAGGTATTTAACAGACGCTCCGCTTTAAAGCCATGCAGCATTTTAGACGTGTTCACATTTTATTTCTTACAATTTTAAATTTCAGATGATTTTCTTTCAAATGTTTTAAGTCTTGGTCAGAACACGCAGATTTTATGAATAAAAGCTGAAAGCAGGAAACGATGCAGGATGGAGATGGTTTTATCCTAAAGGACGCCGGTCCTGTAATCACGAGAGACTTGGAATTGAGTCGATTGACTTGAAAACACACGGAGTGAAGATGAAAATAATCATTTCTGGGAAGTAAAACAATTTTATTCTGATAAAGACTTGATTCTGTCAGATGAACTCACCTGTTAACAGCTGACTAGTAATTAATTCTAATTATTCTGTAATGAAATTACAGATTTAGTCAAATGATTGTCTCTAAAGTTTAAGGCTTGTTTTTGGGACCGACATGTGACTTGATCTCACTTGTGAGGCTCCTGCCTGTTTTGCTGTTTGATCTGTCTGAATGACATTTCTAATGAAACTTTTCAACCAGAGATTAACCCACTAAGGATCAGATGTTTGTTTAATTTGCTGTTTAGAGCTGTAGGCCGTGTGGACATCTGCTAAGATCTGCATCAGGTGATGTATGGTAATAATAATAAACTTCATTTCATTGAAATGTGTCTGGACTTGTGGAAAATTAAGTTCTCAAAATGTAAGTTTACTTTCTAGAGTCCTAAAACCCCCCAAGAGGCTTTACAACACATTTATTCACTCACCCATTCACCCCCAAACACACTGGTGGTGATGAGCGATTGTGGCCACACAGGCACCGCCGGCCCCTCCTTCAGCAGGTGGTGTCAAGGACACAATGGGTGTTTCTCAATGTCAAGGCACCTGGCCTTCAGTGGCGTGTCCAGATCTTTTAAAATGGGGTGGCCCAGGTGAGGCATAACTTTGTGCATGGGTGGCACCAATGGTTATGCTTTTTTGTTTTACCCCCAAGCCTTTTGTGGACAATGAAAAGCCTATTTAAAGGCAAATTAGTGTGGTGGCACCTGGGGTGGCCAATCAGATTCCAAGGGTGGCGTGTGCTACCCCAGCCCACTCCCTGGACACGCCCCTGCTGGCCTTGAGAGGAGACTGGCTGCAACCCTAAAACATCACGATAGGACAGGTGTGGTTAATTCGGGGTTGCCAACTTTTGAGCATTCCAAAGAGTGAGATGGGGTTGGGAGCGAACACTTTGCCGACCGTTTGGGGGTTTGGGGTGGGGGTGGGGGGTGGGGGGGATTAATATTGAGACTTTTTGTGTTCTAGAGAATTCTTACTTTTTTCTCAGAATTATGAGTTTTTTTTTCTTCTCAGACTTCTGACTTTTAATCTCGGAATTCTGACAGGGAATTCTGGGAAAAAAGTCAAAATTCTTTCTTCTTTTTTTTTCCAGTGGCCCTAATCCTCTTCTGTACATCTGACTTCACAGAGGGAACTGACCTTTGTTTAATACAAATTTTCTTTTCGTGAGGAAAATTTAACATCCAACTCTCCTGAACTTTTTCACACTCTGTCTGTCTGTCTGTCAGCAGTAAAGAGTTACAGCTACATGTCACACAGGAACTTAAGTATAATTAATGTAAATGTTTTAAATTCCATCGGGGGGGATACCATGTCTTTCATAATATTACCAGTTATTATTTCCTGCCAAGAAAAAAAAATCTATCATGTTAAGCTAACTTCTTGATGTAGTTGCATCCACTAAACAGGATTATGTTCATGTGTTCATCAGCATGAAGTTATTGAAGTTATCAAAGCTAACTTGTCTGGAATCAGTTTTACTGTAAGTGTGTGTGCTGCTGTAATGAGTGGATGTCCCCACTGTGGGACTAATAACATTTACTCTATTCTATTATATTCGTTCATAACAGCCAGTAGGGAAAAAAAAACGTTTGAGGAATTTTGGCCTTTCCAGGCTTCCGTACAAATAACCTGGTTATGGACGGTGTAAGTTACTTCAAAACCGTAATGCATTATTTATTACTTCTTACCCTCATTTCAAAGTAATTCATTACATTACAATATTACTGATTTTAAAATGTAAGGCATTACACTACTTTAGCATTACTTTAAGTTACTTTCACCAAAACAACTTCAATATGAATCTGGTAATGTGACGCTCAGTGAGCTCATGACATGTGGAAGGTGATGTGGTGTCTGAGCTAGGATTGGTGTTAAAAACAGTCAGATATAATAACAGTGCTTTAAAATGATTGTTTATTAAATAAAAGCAACAACAATCTGTACTCTCAGCACGCTGCCATCTTATATTAACTGAGCAGGGAGTGAGGTGGTGGGGGCTCCAAGCCTATATTTGCCTTGGTCCCCAAATGCCTTGATACGGCCCTGGATGTGGGACTGACTTCTGGGGTGATCTGATTCTATCACATGTATAAATATTAAATGCTTATATATTACTGCTTTTCACAGGTAAAAATGTGTATTGGGGATGAATCTACCTACTTTTTTTTCTTGATTTTATCTGAATAACTTCCTGTCCTTTCTCTCTCTAACCTTCCTGCATGCTGCATGTTCTCTCCATCTTCCAGAAAAACTGTTTCCTAGATTTCCTACTTTCTAACTAATCAGCCAAAGGGATCTACCAAACGCAAAAAAATGAATAAATAAATGAAAAAAAAAGCTTAATAAGCGCTTCACTCCAGCAGCAATGAGTTGAAATCACCGGGGCACAGTTTAAGAGTAATGTCTTCCTGCGGTGTCCGTGTTGGAGCACGGGGTTGGTTAGCGTTCCTCCCATAGATATGTATATAAACACGTGTTTATATAACCATAGATATGTATATAAACCATCAACATATACATATATGGACAATGGGTTTCCATAGGCTCCAATAACACGTTTTTCAAGATAAATGGGAGGTGGCCACCACCGCCATTTTGACCGTGTCACAGGTTCCGTCAAGCCCAGACAATTCCACTAAAGGGAAGAGAGGTTTAGCTGAGGGTGGGGCTGTAAGGCTGGGATCAACTGACGACACCCGGTCAAACTAGCTACAAGCTAACCTGAAGCTAACCCAAAGCTAACGCGGAGGTGGGAGCTAAGCTAACGGAGGTAGCAACCTAGCTACAATCGGAGTTAACTGCACAACACCAGAGCTTCTGAGTCAGAGATACGCCGGGCTGACCGCTGGGTAAAACCGGGTGGAACACAGAGGTCTCCCGAGAGCTCCACGAGCCGGCAGCCGCACTGCAGACAAGCGCCGCTGCGATCTGAGATGCGCAGAGCTGCCGCTGGGGAGAACCTGGTGGAAAGGTTTCCATCCCAGAGCTCCACAAGCCGTCAGCCCGCGAGCTGCGATCAGACAGAGATGTGCCGAGCTGCGGGGAGGGGAGAACGGGTGGAAAACATCGGTCTCCCGAGAGCTCCACAAGCCGATAGTGGGAACCCAGCTCCACCAACATGTTATATTTCAACCCATTTTCTAAAGTGCAGCATTATGTTAAATGCACTGGGTTTTACCCTATTACATTTAAATTTCATGGGTAAACAGTACATGTTAAAATCTAAGCTCAGCTCGGCAGTGACCTAAAATACATAAATATAATTTTACTTACCGAAAAAAATGAAGTGGAGACTCCTTGGATGCTCTATTAATGCAATTAATGCCACAGCAGGTCATTTTGTCCAACAATTGCACAAATAATATCCAAAAAAGAACGCACAAACGCTACAACTAATGGTCTAAGTTGAGAGACTGAAACTGACGGAACAGTTTCCAAGCCAGACCGAGGCTCTACTGAGGCCTTTCCACGGAGCTAGCTCTGTGGTCACGTGGGTCTGATGCTCATTAATTATACAGAATTTTAGGCTTTTAATACACTTAAACAGAAGAGTGAGAAAAAAATTCACCCCCCTCAGAGTTGTCATGAGTGTAAACTAGATCATTTAAACCTAAAACATGTTTTGGTACCAGGCTGTAAACATGTTTATTTCTGCTGTGAAATTGGTATTTTTAACATGGGAGTCAATGAGGATTTGCTCGCTTCTGACACCAGCCCCTAGTGGATGAGGGTGGAACTGCAATTTATTTCACTTCCGCATTGGACTCAATTTCTGTCCCGCATTGTGGGGGCTTGATGAACACGTGTATATATATATAACCATAGATATGTAAATAAATACGTGTATCAATGGTTTCTCCTACATCCGTCACAGCGGTGGGTGGGGTTTGAGTGACTTCCGGGGAGGTTTGTTAAGATGAACGGCTCTCCACAGGGACTCGATCGGCTCTCATCATTTACTTTGAAAACCCGTTCAAAAGATTCGTTCATGAACGTCACATCACTGAGCGTATGAAGAGGGTCAAATGCGTGTGTCTCATGCTCAGTGCGTGAGAGTTGGCTGTTTTATCATGCTATGCTAACATCCTGTAGCGCGTTAGCTGCCCTTACCACTGACGAGGGCAAAGCCTTTGCAAAGCCTTTAAATGATTATTGAACGAAATAAAAACTTCGATTTTTGATGCAGTTTATTTGAGAGTCGATTTTCCAAAGACAAACAGTTTCTGAACATTAGCAAAAAGTTTCTACAGAGAAAGGAAACAGTAACTCCTCACCGGTCTGGGCGTTAAAACAATGGGATCTTTTTTAAATTAAAATGTTTTAAAAGATTTTAAAAATGCACCTGACAGATTTTATACTTTAGGTCACATGAAATAAACCTTAATTTTCTACACATTAGCGTTAGCTTCACAACCTGAGAAACTGTCAAGCGTTTAACTGATGCTGCTTTAGGTGGAGGATGTAGGTGAGGCTGCACCTAGTGAGTTAGTTGCACTGTAGCCTTGCAGCAAGTAAGTTGCAGGTTTGAATCCCAGGGCAGCCCTTTTGCAAAGGATTAGCATGTCCTCCCCATTCATCTTTGGTTCTTGGTTGCCTCCCACACAAAAACAAGCATGTGGGGTTTATCTGTTTTTCTTTGGATGTAAGCATTTGCTACAGGAATAAACAATCATCTTATTACCAAAATCAGACTAAAATAGCACCAGGAGTCATTTCAGGCTAAATAAATACTATGACATTTACAGAAAAAATATAAAACAGTTGAGTTCAAACATATTTACAAATCACTAAATAACCCAGAACCAGGACTAGAAATAGAACCAGAGAGAAGGAGGGACCCTTCATTCCTTCAAATGTCATTTTTGCCTGCAGGGGTGGGGTGGGGGGTGGGGGGGTGGGGGGTGGGGGGGGGGCATGTAGAGGGTGGAGCTTCGTGTAGTAGGAGGGGCTCCATGTAGAGGGAGGAGCTCCGTGTAGAGGGTGGAGCTTTGTGTAGAGGGAGGAGTTCCATAAAGAGGGAGAAGTTCCATATAGAGGGTGGAGCTTCATCTAAAGAAGTGATCCCCTAAGTGTAGAGCTGCCGCTAGGGGGTGCGGGAGGTGGAAAGTCTAATGGCTACGGGAGCTACGGCCAACGGGTGCAGAAGAGCGCATGCAGGAGTGAGTGATTTTAAAAATGTGGCTGAAATAGCACCTTACGACATTCAGTGACAAAAGCATCCTCCGCTCAGCCTTTCACGGAGCTGCGGTGGTGATTCAGAGTGCTCAGAACTCCTCTGCGCCGTCAGAACATTTAAGCAGGTGCTGGATGCAGAGATAATCCATGGCTAGCCTACTGCGTGATTAAAGCACATTTAAGTGATTTTAAAACAATCGAATTTCTCTAAATTGAAATAGAAAATTGAAATAGAAATTGCCTCTCCCTGGGCTGCCACCTTACAGTGGTGGTGGGGTTTGAGTGACCCAATGATTCTAGGAGCTAAATTGTCTGAGGCTTTCTGCCTCTGGTAGGGTCACCCATGGCCAACAGGTCCTAGGTGAGGGATCAGACAAACAGCAGCTCCAAGACCTCTTATGATGAATGGAAACCGTGTTCCCTCGCCGGGACGTGGGCCACCGGGGCCCCCCTCTGGAGCCAGGCCTGAAGGTGGGGCACGTTGGCGAGCGCCTGGTGGCCGGGCTTTCACCCATGGAGCCCGGCCAGGCACAGCCCGAAGAGGAAACGTGGGTCCCCCTTCCCATGGGCTCACCACTAGTGGGAGGGGCCAAAGTGGTCGGGTGCAGTGTGTGACGGGTGGTAGTCGAGGGCGGGGACCTTGGCGGTCTGATCGTCGGCTACAGAAGCTGGCTCTTGGCACATGGAATGTCACCTCTCTGGTGGGGAAGGAGCCCGAGTTGGTGTGTGAGGTTGAGAGCTTCCGACTAGATATAGTCGGACTCACCTCAACGCATGGCTCTGGATCTGGAACCAGTTTCCTTGAGAGGGGTTGGACTTTCTATCACTCTGGAGCTGCTCCCACTGAGAGGCGCCGAGCAGGGGCGGGCATACTAGTTGCCCCCCATCTTGGTGCCTGTACGTTGGGGTTTACCCCGGTGAATGAGAGGGTAGCCTCCCTCCGCCTACGTGTGGGGGGACGGGTTCTGACTGTGGTCTGTGCTCATGCACCAAACTACAGTTCAGACTACCCACCCTTTTTGGAGACCTTGGAGGGGGTGCTGGAGAGCGCTCCTTCCGGTGACTCCCTCGTTCTGCTGGGGGACTTTAACGCCCACGTGGGCAACGACAGTGAGAGCTGGAGAGGTGTGGTTGGGAGGAACGGCCCCCCCTGATCTGAATTTGAGTGGTGTTTTGTTATTGGACTTCTGTGCCAGTCATGGATTGTCCATAATGAACACCATGTTCAGACATAAAGGTGTCCATATGTGCTCTTGGCACCAGGATACCTTAGGCCGCAGCTCGATGATCGACTTTGTTGTTGTTTCATCTGACCTGCGGCCGCATGTCTTGGACACTCGGGTGAAGAGAGGGGCGGAGCTGTCAACTGACCACTACCTGGTGGTGAGTTGGCTGAGATGGTGGGGGAGGATAGGGAAAACTGGAGCGTGAGATCAACAGGAGGATTGGTGCTGCATCTGCAGTGATGCGGGCGTTGTACCGGTCTGTCAGAGAGAGCTGAGCCAGAAGGAGAAGCTCTCGATTTACCGGTCGATCTACGTTCCTACCCTCACCTATGCTCATGAGCTTTGGGTAGTGACCGAAAGAACGAGATTGCGGATACTAGCGGCCGAAATGAGTTTTCTGAGTGAGTGGCTGGGCTCTCCCGTAGAGATAGGGTGAGAAGCTTGGTCATTCGGGGGGGGGGGGGGGGGGGGGGGGGGGGGGGGGGCGGCTCGGAGTAGACCCGCTGCTCCTCCACATCGAGAAGAGCCAGTTGAGGTGGCTCAGGCATCTGGTCAGGATGCCTCCTGGATGCCTCCCTGGTGAGGTTTTCCGGGCACGTCCAACCGGAAGGAGACCTAAAGGTAGACCCAGGACACGGTGGAGGGACTATGTCTCTCACCTGGCCAGGGAACGCCTTGGGATTCCCCCGGAGGAGCTGGCCCAAGTAGCTGGGAAGAGGGAAGTCTGGGCCTCTCGACTTAGGCTGCTGCCCCCGCAACCCGACTCCGGATAATTGGATGAAAATGGATGGATGGATGGAAATAGAAGCTTCTATTTAGAGATCATGAAAACAGAGCGATCTCCCCAGTTATGAACCTCACCCCCAGGATCGCTTGTTAGTCCATGTGGCAGTGGAGCGCAGCTTCAGCCAGAACATTCAAACAGCCATGAGCCTGTCTGAGGCTAAATCCAGAACTTCATCATGACTCCAGGCTCTGCAGCATGCCCCATTAGAGATCTCTGATTACGCTCAAGCAGGTGGCCAGTTCAGGTTTACATCAGAGCAGAAGCAAGGAGAGAGAGGGGTTCTGGCTACAGGTTAAATGCTCCTACTTTAAGATAAACCCTTTAACTGTATTGTTTATGTGTTACCCGGGCACTCTACATATTAATTAAAAATGTAATCAAAGGAAATTGTAATGCTATTGAATGTTTATTAATTACTATTTCAAAAATGAAAGTGTCGGGGAAAAAGGTCCGTCATATTTTTTTTAATCCTGTTAAATTCACTGCAAAGGATTTGCAACCAAGTATTGAAATGTATAAGTTTGATTGATGGTTCTTATTCTGTCCCATTACTTTTGGTCCCTTAACACGTAGGAGGCACAAATGCAAACTGTTGTAGTTCCTACACCGTTCACCTGATTTGGATGTAAAGACCCCCAAATAAAAGCTGACAGTCTGCAGTTAAAGCACATCTTGTTCGTTTCATTTGATATCCATTGTGGTGGTGTATAGAGCCAAAAATGTTAGCATTGTGTCGATGTCCCAATATTTATGGACCTGACTGTATATATAGCCCCATAGCCACGCCCTGGTGTGGGGGCTGAGAGGTGCTTCGACATGGTCGGGACATAGAAGGGGGTGTGCGGCTAAATAAGTTTGGGAGCCTCTGATCTAGAGGGAGGAACTCCGTGTAGGGGGTGGAGCTCCATATAGGGGTGGAGCTCCATGTAGGGGGTGGAGCTCCATATAGGGGAGGAGCTCCATGTAGGGGGTGGAGCTCCATATAGGGGAGGAGCTCCATGTAGGGGGTGGAGCTCCATATAGGGGTAGGAGCTCCATGTAGAGGGTGTATCGGCACTGTCACAGCCTGATGCAGACACTGCACCTTGCGACATGGTTGCTCTGGTCCTGGACGTCGCTCAGAGTGCTGGAGGAGTTGCTGAGGGTGGTCAACCAGAAGCTGTAGACGTTGGCAAAGAAGTGGCAGGTTCCTCGAGCACCTTGACACTCCACAAAGGGCTGAGCTCTGAACTGGGATAGGCAGCTACCTGGTGATGTCAGAGAGTGGCCTCCGCCTTCATCCCCTCCACCTGTATACTGTCAATCACACACACAGGAAATGACATCATCACCAGCTGCACAGGGAGCCTAAATCACAGCCCTGCTTCCGGTCCATGAGGCCCCTTCTGCCAAAAGAAAAGAATAGAAGTCTATGTATCCATAAAATTTAATTTCTGAACCCATTTAGCGCGTGCCATGGATTTCACATGTGACGTTCATGAATCTGGCCATGTGGAAAGTGGCAGACATGATGGAGGAGAGATTCTGCTGTGACATCATGAATGCAACCTCTGATTTGTCTTTTTAATTTCCAGTTTTAACAAGCTAAGAAGTCTCAAATTACAATATCATTCATTTATCATTTAAATCGAAATACAACTAATGTATAATGCAGGGCGAAGGCAAAGCGGACCAGCCCCGTTCACTTACGTTCTGTTCTTTATGTTTTTGGTCGGGGGACCCATGAGCCGACCGGAAGGGGAGGTGGCTTTGGTTCCTTGTTGTAGATGTAAAGTTTAAGTTTGGTATCAGTTACTGAACGATTAATCTTGCAAATCCCACCAACAGTTCATCGTTTCTCTCCACGCAAAGCTTTTCTTTCCCGGACCTGGAATACTTTGGACAAATAAATATTTTTGAATGTTCCAGAGACATGTCCAGCGGGAATACCGTGCTTCCAGTCAGTGTGAAGAGCTCGATAACACGTTTGTCCTAAAGAATGGGTTCAGCGTGCTGTGCCCCACCGTGCTAATGGAGTGCCTAAAATAACCACGAAAGCTCTGGCTGGACTGGAGGGGGTCACTGGATAAAGGCTGCTGTAGTTTATAAATAAAGAAGGAATTTTTTTTATTTTTTAACTAAACTTTTCCCGCTGGGAGCAACAATTCTGGACATCAGACCTCGTTAAACCAAAAACAAAGTCTAATCGACCCAAAAAGATTTTTCTGAAAAAGCGGATTCCAACAATATTCTGAATCCTAAAGGATCCCACGATCCTTAACGCTCAAGTCACACTCATGAACAGAAAATTCCAGGATTTCCTCCTAAGTGTTCCAGGTCTTTACATAAACCCACTGAACTTGGACCCTCACAAGTTCTGAGAAGGTCTAGTTGTTCTGGCTCTCACCATCAAAAAGGAGTACCCCTGCCAGATGCTGGTCCAGTTCTCGGGGCACTCTGGAGGCCGTTTGGAGTTGGGGTCATGCAGGGCCACCGCTGAGGCAGGTGCTTCACACACCACACAGCGGCTGATGTGGTTTCTGATGATGTTTCCATCAAAAGGTCTGTTGGGAGCCTTTTCCATCGTGGAGAGCCAGTAGGTCTTATCGTTTCGAGACGCGTAGTGGCAGCCACTCACACCGCAGACAGAGAATGGCATGGTGTAGAACATAGGCACACAAGAACCGGCCTGACCTGGAAACATCCCAAAAAAAGACTAATGACTTCAGACGCAGTCAGCAGACTAGCAGGTTCAGATCCAGAACCAGGTCCTGGTTTAATATGACTGGACTTCTCTGTAGTGCACCCTTTCCTAGCCAGGCCAGCCGTGCTGATGCTTCCTAATGGGAAGCAAAGGGCCTCCCAAAAATCCCCACCCCTGAGAATTCTAATAGAGCCAATCAGCGCTGAGCACCATACGTCACACACCGTTTCCCATAAACAACAAAGATGGCGTCTGAAGCAGAGTTCGCTGCGGCTCTTTCCTCGGTTCTAAATGACTCGGACATGTCTCTTGAACCTGGATAAGAGAAAAGCCTTTCTTCTAAAGCTGGGGTATTCAACTCCGGGCTGGGATGGCCGGTATCAGCGCATTTTAGTTTTAACTCTGGTCCAACACACCTGAGTTCAATCAGCAGGTGATTAACAGGCTGCTGCAGAGCCTGATGAGCTGCTGCACCGATGATTCAACCACTGAATCAAGTGTGTTGGAGCAGAGAAACCCCTAAAACGTGCTGGATACCGGCCCTCCAGGAGCGAAATTGAATACCCCGGTTCAAAAGAAAGACGTTTGTGCCGTCGCCAGATGCCATCTTTCACTACAGCTGAAAAAACTACAGCGCCGCGCAATAGTCGTCATTTCTGCCTTTTGTCTGATTGGTTATTTTTGAGCTGGCTAGTCCCGCCCCTCACGGTGCTCTCTGCCTCTAAGTATCCAGACTCGCCGTCTGTGTAGAATAGACAGCGGGCGAGTGACAGGCCAGGCCAGCCCTTACCAAGGTCCTGAGGGTGTGCCCTCTCCTGACCTTCCAGGTAGAGCAGACTGTACCCTCTCCACAAAGGCGTCATGTTTTCTGGACATTGCGGAACCACATTAGACTGGCTGTGTTTCACTAACAGATGACCAAGTTTCAGCTTCTCAGATGGTCCACAAGGACCTGGATCGCCCACGTCACCAGGTGCACCTACAACATAGACACCATGTGACAGGAAGTGACATCATCATGCATTTTACATGACTGGACACAAATGAAGACTGATCAGAGTTTACCAGGAACCTTAGATGACTTAGGAGATCAGTAAGTGAAATGCAGGTTCTGGTCTGACCTTTGTTTCCCAGCATTCCTTTCACACCTGGTAGACCCGGATCTCCTTCATCTCCACTTTTACCTTCTGGCCCAACACAACCTGTCGGTCCAGCTTCACCCGGATCGCCCTTCAGACCTGAAATACAATCCTCCATCACTTATCCACCAAAATAAAAAAAACAAGCAGCATCAAAACTGGGACAGCCTAAAGATCTAAACCAGCCCGTTTCTCACCTTTTGGCCCAGTTCTACCAGATTCTCCACTCAGGCCCTTATCTCCGGGTGCACCAGGAGGGCCACGTGGGCCTCTGGGGCCCGGTTCTGGTGAAGAATATGGAGGACATGGGACCATTTGTCCTTTCTCCCCCTTTAGACCTTCTGGTCCAACTGATCCCTTTGGTCCTTTAGGCCCAGAGTAACCTAGATCCCCCTTTGGACCCGGATTACCAGGAACTCCGAGGTCACCGTGTTCTCCTCTCAGACCTTATGACACAGAGAAGAAAAACAGCATTAAAACGAATGTGGTCAGAACCTTTGGTACCATCCATGATGGACCTTGATGAGATCCGTGTAAAAGGGCTAGGGCCAGATTTACTAGAGTCAGAAACTGGACCAAGCGGTCCAATATCCTGACAGAACAGAACCTTTAGGTCCTTGGTTTCCAGGGAGGCCTGGAGTTCCTGGTGGCCCGTGAAATCCTATCTGTCCTTTTGGCCCCTGGCACCCAGGATTACCATCATCCCCTTCATCTCCACAAACTGGGGGATTTGGACCCGGCTCTCCTCTTTTTCCACTGTGTCCTAAAATAAAACAAGAGTGGGAGTCCTTCTGAACTTTGATTCGACATCAAGAGTAACATCACTTACCTGGGTCTCCATCTGGACCCTTACCACCCGGCTCTCCAAAAGACCCTGGATTCCGCTTTCTACAATCATGCCCAGGTGGACCTGGAGGTCCATTACAACCTTGAGGTCCTAAAATTGGAACAGCAACCAGGTTAGTGACACACTTCTGGTCAGAGTTTAAAATGATTCCGCTGCTGGTTAAACACAGAATATCATGTTGCAGACCTTTGGGTCCTGGTGGGCCTTTGGGTCCTACTGGTCCTGGCTGGGACGTGCCATAAGGACCTTCAACCCCATCAGGACCCTTTTGTCCTGGAGGTCCCGGGAAACCTGGAGGACCCTTTGTACCAAGACCTGAAGAGAATGAGAAACCTTTAGAGAGGAAATACAAATAATTCTAATAACATGCAACCTGAAGTTAAAATCCTCAAAAGAAAATCAGAAAATGTTTCACCCTCAATAGAAAACATCACTCTAAACTCTGTTTGAGAGTCTTTTGGATTTAGACGTGAGATACTTCAGCACAGACCACCTTGTTCTTCTTCATGTCCCCTTTCATTATTTTGTTGTGGGTGTTTTTGTATCATACCTCTGGTTCCCATGTCACCTTTCACTCCTTTTAGTCCGTCCAATCCATGAAGTCCTGTAGGTCCAGGAAGACCTGATGCAAAAAAAGTATCCACACAAAAACAACCAGTGACCTTCATATTTGCTGAAAAGTGCCTCAGGGCTCTTGGTTGCTTTAGAATCTAACTCAACATTCTTTCCTTTAAAATGGCCGTCTCCATTTTTAACTGTCAGAGCTGCTGACCACCCTTGCTCTACATCCTTGTTTTACTGATGGATTTTTGATTATTGTATAGTTACAGTGCTTGGTGTCTGTTTTTATGATTACACTCACATTGTTTTTAAGAGGTATTTCTCTGACTGTGTTTTTGTTTTTAAAATTTCACGTGTAAAGCCCCTTAGAGAAAAATGGTATGGTATGGCATGGCATGGCATGGCATGGTATGGCATGGTATGGCATGGTATTGCATGGCATGGCATGGCATGGTATGGCATGGTATGGCATGGCATGGTATGTCATGGCATGGTATGGTATGGTATGGCATGGTATTGCATGGCATGGCATGGCATGGTATGGCATGGTATGGCATGGTATTGCATTGTATGGCATGGCATGGTATGGCATGGTATGCCATGGCATGGCATGGTATGGCATGATATTGCATGGCATGGTATGGCATTGCATGGTATTGCATGGCATGGTATGGCATGGCATGGCATGGTATGGCATGGCATGGTATTGCATGGCATGGTATGGCATGGCATGGTATTGCATGGCATGGCATGGCATGGCATGGTATGGCATGGCATGGCATGGCATGGTATTGCATGGCATGGTATGGTATGACATGGCATGGTATTGCATGGCATGGCATGGCATGGTATGGCATGGTATTGCATGGCATGGCATGGCATGGTATGGCATGGCATGGCATGTTATAATAAGAGACAAAATCATCACCAAGAAGAAAGCATTATTGGACTGCCAAGTCTATGTGTGATGTTGTGGAACTGACAGTTGCAGTCATTGGTGCTGATATATTAATAATATTTAAAGATATTTCAAACAACCTGAGACAGTTCATAATAACGTATTTGCCTTATAGGCTAACAGTGGAGCATTAGCCATTAGCAAAGCTATCAGATAGAGGAAAGGGGCAGACATTTCTTCAGGTTCTGACCTTTAGGACCTGGGAAACCCTGCAATCCAGGGGGACCAGTGGCACCTGCTTCCCCAGGAAGACCTGGACAACCCGGCCGGCCTCTGGGTCCTGGAGGACCGATCACACCTGATGGAAACACAAGGTCTCTGAAGGAGCACAACACTGAAATAATGAGTTATTCTAACTACTGGCTTAGGTTGGTCTCAGTACCTGGTTCACCAAGGCAACCAATGAAGCCTTTATGTCCCTTGCATCCTTTCTGTCCTGGAGCACCAATAAAGCCTTTTGGTCCAGGATCTCCTTGGGCTCCAGGAAGACCTGCAAGGCAATGGGTAGATAACTGATATAGATTTGTGACAGTTCTTTAGAAGACTTGAACAGAAATGGGGATTTTCACCTTTGAATCCTCCATCTCCAGGGAGGCCCTTGTCTCCAGGTGGACCAGTACAACCAACAGAGTCTCCACTGTCACCTGAAATACAAAAAACACTCATTGCAGGACAATCTGCACTGGACAACAAAAACAACTTTATTTAGCAGATAAAATATGTGAACATGAATTTAATTAAAAACTTGGCCATAGCAAATTCACACCTCTTGGTCCAGGACACCCAGGCTGACCAGGTTTAGCAGGTGTTCCAGGACATCCCGGGTCTCCCTATGAAGACAAGATAAGTAGAGGGTTTCTGATTCTAAAACTGTTCTAAACACAATAAAGTTGTTCCAAGGTGAAGGGCAAGGCAAAGAGGAAAAGAAAACAGGTCATTAATACCGTATTTTCCGGACTATAAGCCGCTACTTTTTCCCACGCTTTGAACCGTGCGGCTTATAATGAGGTGCGGCTTTACTGAAGATTTTCCTTCACCTGCCACTAGGGGGCGCTTTAGCAGAAAGTGAAACAGGTGGAAGTCAAAAGTGGAAATGGAAGAAAGTGCTCATTTGAATGGTACATGCAAGCAGCCGGCACAACGAAGAATTTTTTTCAAATCCATACCCCCTCATCATGGTAACTACATGTATGAGTTCATATGATGCCGCATTTAAGTTGAAGGCCATCGATCTGGCAGTAAAGGAGGGAAACAGTGCTGCCGCACGTAACCTTGGCATGAATGAATCCACGGTTCGGCGCTGGAGACGGCAGCGGGAAGATCTCATTCAAGCCAGCTTCACCCGGGGATGACGACAGCAACACCGACATCGCCACAGAAAAGGTATGTGGCGAAGCTCTTCTGAGGCTGTTCAACTCCGACACTGAAGAAGAGGACTTTAATGGCTTTAATGCGCAGGAGGAAGATGAGAGCGAATGACTTCTTCTGGTAGGCAAGTGTGTTTTATTTACTAACCAGGCATGTTTTGTGTGCAGTTTTTATTTTCTAATCATCCAGGGCTTATTAATGCTGTGTCAGCACTGTTCTTTTCTTCTAAACATGCAAATTACCGGTAATAACGTGTCAGTGCTGTTTTTATTTCATAACCATCCAGAAATATGAATGCTATCAGTGCTGTTTTCTTTTCGAAACTTGCAGGCATGTTCACCCGTGTTTAAAACTTGTTTTGTTGAATTAAAACAACGAAAAACCTCTGTGTAGCGTCTTTCTGTCTAATTATCTTACGTTATGGCCGTACATGCGCTGTACGGCGGAGACCTGCATGTGGCTGCTGCGCCGCGGCTTGTATTCGAGTGCGGCGTGTGTGTGTGTGTGTGTGTGTAGAAAACCTTTTTATTTGTTGGTGCGGCTTATATTGACGTGCACTCTATAGTCCGGAAATTACGGTACATGGCCTGAAGGGGTGTGAGGGTATGTAGACTGTTGCTAAGCTACAAAGTAGGAGCTACCATGGAGAAGTATTTAAAACAAAAACTATAAAGGTGGGAATGATGAAAGCCCCCCACCCCCAAAAGACCATGGGTGTTTCTCAATGCCGAGAAACCTCACCTTGATGTCTTGGCCCCGCCCCGGTTGCCTAGGAGATTCGTCGTCTGGAGCCGCCAAGACGTGTTCCAATGTTCATGTTCTACCGAGGTGCGTGTTCTCTGTTTGTTAGCCGTTAAGCTAGCTGAGCGAGGATACATGGGAGGTGTCTTGTAGCCTAGCCTTGGTCAAAAATTACCCAGAAAACACCGCAGTATTTTCAAAAAGATGGCGGATCAGAAGCCGGCAGCTACTTCGGGGACACATTTCAAGTTTAAAAGTAAGTCAACTAATTTAAAATATATTTTGTTTAGATCCAATGAAGTTATCTATGGTTGGTTAGTTGCTTAGTAGTTGCAGCTTCGGTGGCTAGCGGGTAGTAACTCACTTATATTTTTAATTTAACAAACATATACACAATTTAAAAAGTAAAAGGCTCGTTATGTATTTATATTGAAACTAATACGTATAAAATATAACGTTATCTCCCGTGTCACATGATCGCCGTGGTCATGTCATGCAAATCTGTTCCATTTAACCGTTTTCTTTGACCAAGGAAGGACCGTGTCCTCGTAAGCAAGGCGCCTGGCCTCGCAAGACATCGCCTCGCAAGGCCAGGCGCCTTGACATTGAGAAACACCCAACAAATGTGCACAAGAACAATCCTGACTTCCTCAAGTATGACTTTGTAAATGGAGGCGACGAAAAAGAGTGTGAAGTGTTGGCTAATGCTATCAAACAAAGCATTTATCTTACTTGATCTCCAGTCAGTCCAGGGAAGCCACGGTATCCTTGATGTCCTTTATATCCAGGCTGTCCTTGGGGTCCTGGTTTGCCCAGTGGTCCTTGGGGGCCTTGATGTCCCCTCACGCCCCATGGTCCCATGAAGCCAGGATCCCCAGGTTTCCCCAACAAACCTTCTTCACCTTTATTTCCTATTTAAAAAATATTTGAATATTAAAGTATTGGTGGGAACCCTGATGCATGATTGGAAGTATAATCTCTGTAGTTTCATTTGCTGTCTAGGTTTAATTGTTTTTGTTGTTGTCTATGCTGAGGTAGAGTGATGTTAGCAAGATTTATTTGTAAAACTTACATTTATAAAATAACACCCTACAGTATCCTCAAAACTCTATATAAGAGTCATAACTCTGTAGGTCTGTATAACGTTTGTAAATGATCACGTTTAAGGTCTGTATGCTTATAGAAGTTGGGGTTTGGGGTCCAGGGGGTCCTCAAGAAATAAAGTTTGTGAACTGCTGCTGCCCAAGAGCACGCTGGTCATTCTGGGATTCTTCAGAACTCACAGATTACCAGTTCACCTCTGGTGGGGGTTGGAGAGGACCTGGCAGCACCAAGGGGGTATGGCAGCTTCACCTGTCAGTTAGCTTCAGGGCTACTGAGTAGTTCATCTCATTATTGCCAGCGTGTGAATTTGCAGTTGTGTTGCAAAGTGTTGTAAAGAGCCTTGCCCCCCCCCCCCCCCCCCCCCCCCACACACACACACACAGTGATGAGATGTGATTAACTACAATGTTGCCATTGTAGTCCTGGGCTAATTAACCTAATAAAGGTGGAGCTGCCATACACCCTTGGCGCCGCTAGCTCCCTGAGCACCGCCAGCAGACAAGGTGGGTGAAGTGTCTTGCCCAAGGAAACAACGGCTGCGACAGACTGAACGAGGCACGAACCTGCAGCCCTGAGGGCCTGATATAACTACTAACTGAACAAAGCAAACAGATTTTCAGAGTTTTGCAGAAAGACCAGTGTTGAATGCCACCAGTCCCTCCCACCTTGAGGTCCTTGGACACCATTGATGCCAGCTGGTCCTCGTTGTCCTGCCATGCCTTTTATATCGATTATCTTGGTGTCTCCTGGAGGTCCCAGGTCTCCTTTAGAACCTGCAGGCGAGGGACGTTTGGGAACAGGATGAGCATCTAGATGGAGCTGTCCACGGTGCTCGTGGTGCAGGCATGTGTTGTAGAACTGTGCTGATGCAGACTGGTTAGATTAGTACATGTTTACCTTTTTCTCCCTTTGATCCTTCACATCCTTGAGCCCCATCTTGCCCACTGGGGCCCCTTTCTCCATCCCTGCCTGGGACTCCAGGGCACCCTGTACTTCCCAAGGTTCCTGGCTCTCCTTTCTGGCCCTGGGGTCCAATTAGACCTAAAACAGTTTATTTACAAAGCATCAAATCAGGACAAGAGTCACCTCAAGGCACTTCACAAAGTAAACATTCCAACTGAGTTCAGTTAATTTTGCCAATTAGTTTCCTTGCCAACTCCGGGTCGGGAGAGAGGTCCTACCTCAAGTGGAGGAGTTTAAGTATCTCGGGGTCTTGTTCTCTGTGAGGGTAGGAGGGATCGGGAGATCGACAGGCGGATCGGTTCGGCGTCTGCAGTGATGTGGATGCTGAGCCGATCTGTCGTGGTGAAGAGGGAGCTGAGCCAGGAAGCCAGGCTCTCGATTTACCGGTCGATCTACGTCCCAATCCTCACCTATGGTCATGAGCTTTGGGTAATGACCGAAAGAACGAGATCGCGGATGCAAGCAGCCGAAATGAGTTTTCTCCGTAGGGTGGTCGGGCTCAGCCTTAGAGATAGGGTGAGGAGCTCGGACATTCGGGAGGGACTCGGAGTAGAACCGCTGCTCCTCCGGATCGAAAGAAGTCATTTGAGGTGGTTTGGGCATCTGGTCAGGAAGCCTCCTGGACGCCTCCCAGGGGAGGTGTTTCGGGCATGTCCTGCCGGCAGGAGGCCCCCGGGTCGACCCAGGACACGTTGGAGAGGTTACATCTCCAATCTGGTCCGGGAACGCCTTGGGGTCCTGCCGTAGGAGCTGGTGGAGGTGGCCGGGGAGAGGACGGTCTGGAGCTCCCTAGTTGGGAGGCTGCCCCCGCGACCCGGACCCGGATAAGCGGAGGAAGACGATGACGACGACGAGTTTCCTAGCCCAGCAGATGCAATCCAGTCACTGACAAATGTCAAGAGACTTTACAGCAATCCTCATACTAAGCAAGCATGCAGCGACGGTGGAGAGGATGAAAGCTCCAACAGAACCTGGATCAGTACGAGCAGCCATCTATCATGCCTCACTGGGGTGTGTGTGTCTGTTGTATGTAGGCCTGTTTAATGTGACCTGCTGATGTCAGTTGTTATTGCTGCTATAATCTTTTGTTCACCTCACCTTTCTGACCAACAACCCCCATCAAGCCAGGGTCCCCAACAGGGCCAGGGGGCCCCTGAAACCCCTGGATTCCTGGGAAACCAGGATTTCCCAGTTCACCGGTTTGGCCTTTAGAGCCAAAACCAGGTGGACCCCTGTCACCGATCTCACCTTTCTGGCCCATAAAACCTAAAATGAAATCACAACAGACTGAGGTTACTACAGCAGAAGGAAATGGTCATGAATGTGCAGCTGACAAATAAAAAGTCTAGAGAACAACTCTAGGACTAACGTGCACCTGGAGGGCCAGAGAGTCCCTGAGGGCCACAGAGGCCCATTTCACCGGGTTGTCCTGCCTCACATCGCTCGGGTTTGGGTCCAGTGGGTCCAACTGTGCCCGGGTCACCCTCCTCTCCTTTCTGACCCTTCACACCTGAGTCTCCAGGCAGGCCCAGGGCTCCTTTACAAACATATGAAGCAACTTCAGACTTTACAACATCGACAATTAAACAAATATAAATATTAACCATAACGAAGCTAATGCTGACATGTAAGACAGGAGGGAATATTGGACTTGCTGGGAGCCCAGCAGAACAAAAGGAACCCTTGCAGAACCTTCACTGTCACCAATCTGCACAAAAAATATTCAACCAGGTCTGTTGATTCACCTGGTGCTCCTTGTTGGCCAGGGGGGCCGGGGACTCCTTTAGGTCCTGGAAACCCCAGTGGTCCTGGAAAGCCAGTAGATCCAGAGGGTCCGTAATCATTATCCCCTCGTAGTCCAGGGAGTCCAGGAAGACCAGGGAGCCCCAAAGATCCTAGTGCAGTAATAAAAAATGCAGCTGAAAAGCAACCTGTTGGCTCATCTGAGATACTTTGTGTTTGTATTAAACAAAATGAGCAGCTGACCCTGGAAAGATTCAAAATAAACTCCCTCCAGAGTTTTGAACAAGACGATCAAGAAGAACGCAATGATTACGGTTAATTATGGAGCAGTAAAACATCTGTTCTCCAGATCATTTCTGTTGGGAGTTTCACCTGCCTAGGTAGTCAGCAGGTCCCTTTGCTGAGGTTATGCTGTCCCTGCTGAAGAAAACTGCATAGACCAGCATATGTTGCGTTTAGGTGATGGTGCAATACACTGGTCCAAGATGGGATGCTGGTCCTGCATGTTGGACCAGCATCCAATCACCAGCTTCCCGTACTGGACTAGCATTGCATGCTGGACCAAAATACCAGCACTAAAACATAACATATGCTGGTCTACGCTGTTTTTTTTTTTTTTTTTTTTTTTTTTTTTTTTTAAACGTGTCCTGTCTGGCTGTGAAGCAAGCAGAATTGATGTCTGAATGCTGGTAACAAGCCTTACAGTTTTACTCTCAGGTGGAGCATCAGAGCATCTGCTTTTAATGTCTCAGGTGGAGCATCAAAGAGTCTGCTTTTAATGTCGCACCTGATATTTAAAACTTTATTGTTATTGTTTTTGAATGCTTTGTAATTTCGACCAGACACGGAGACAGAGGTGAAAGAGAAAGGAAAAGAGAAAAGGTGGGGAGAGAGGGGGTTAGGTGGGGGGGGGATTCAACAAAAATAAACAATAATGAACAAGAGTCTGCTTCTAGACCTGCAAAATGAGACGAGAAAAAAGCAAAACATAACAAAAAATGGGACACAACACCAATATAACAGAATCAAGCTATCACTGCGTCAACTTGATGAAGAAATATATAATCAATCGTTTAACTAAACAGTCACATGATAATATACCACAGTGCATTGAGTGCCCACCATAGTCTTAAGACATGTGTTGAACGTGCCCAAGCCCATACTTATGAGAGCACCATGTGAGCACCTGTGTGTGTACACGCGCTTGTTTATGTAAGGTTTATCTATAGGAGCGTCCAATAGAGAGTGTGAGGGACCACAGATCTGCCCCCCAAAGACGCGTAGGAGACGGGGGGGAGCTCCAAGTCCCAGAGATCCAGGCGCTGCCCCAGAACACAGGAACCCCAAGGAGCCCGCAACCAGAAAGGCCCCCGCCCCCCTCGAGAGGCACAGAGGATCGCCCCGGGGGGCCACAACCAGCAGCCGGCAGAGCCCCGGGAGATATCAGCGGCAAGTCCTCAGGCCTGCCCGCAGCCTCCCACCCCCTAGCCGGCCGAGTCCGGGACCCAGCGACCCGGGACCCAGGGGCGACCACCCCCGCCGGGGACCCAGCAGAGCCCAGGGACCCAGACCCCCCCAGGCCGCCACCGGGATTGATCAGGCAGATGCCAAAAATCTTAAACTCCCTGACCCGGGAGCCACGAACACTCAGGCAGACCAAGGCATCACACCCACACCAGGTGTGACAGGGGGGAGGGGAGACGAAGATCTATATCATCAAAGGAGGTCCCAGGAGAAGGGAGGAGTCAAAGGCCCCACCTGACATATACAGTCATACACAAACACAGTCACACACTCCCTCCCTCATGCTCACACATGCACATACAACCAAAGACTTACAAAAATACACGCCGGACACCCATTCATGCTCCCCATACACACCCTATTCACTCTGGTCCCGGTAATGCTGCACATGGGGTACAACCACCACCGGTTACCAGAGTTTGACCCTTTCTGCTGGGGTGCTGATGAGCAGGCTCCCCCGCCCACCGCCGAGCACAGCAACCCACCACCCCAGACCCCAACCAGACGGCCAGATCTCCCTCCTAGTCTCCAGCCCCAGGCAGCCAAGCAACAACAGAGGTGTGCTAAGACCCCGTGGTCTCCCTCCACCTGCTCCAACATAGTGTTGTGTGTTAATGAGGTGTATTCTATTGCTGTGGTGAGTGGGCAGTGCGGGCATTTTCTGGCCTATGCCAGCTGATGCCACTGCACCACCCTACTTGCACCCACAGCCCTTGGTGTCTAAATGCAGTTTAAAATTCGAAGTGGGCACCGGCACTCGGGAGGAGGCTGAGAACTCCCCCTGCCAAGTGCCGTTGAATGTGCTCACTCCCAAGGCCCTAAGTGTATGTTTGCGTGGAATGTCGTCGGTGGAAGTGCATAAGGTGCAAATAAAATTGGGGGGCAGGAAGCCACAGGAATGCGGAAATGGGGTCCATACCCGCACTCCTCGACTTGTCCACCCCCCAAGGTCCTATGTGCATGTTTGTGTGATGATGTGAGGGAGCAGGAGGAGAGAAATAAACGGGGATGGGGAGGAATGGCTGGTAGGGCTTAGCCCTCCAGGGAGCCAGCTCCCCCACTGACCCCAATAGGCACCTCCGTTGTCATATCGCCGCCCAGGGCATGGAGACCCCAGCCCATCCTGCCAGGGCCCAAAGCAGCAGCATCACAGAGCCCCACAGAGCCCGAGGGAGCCGACCCAGCCCCACCCCAGCAGAATATCTATGCCCATCCCTGCATTTGCACAACTTCCAGAATATATAAGACATAAGACATCCAGGTAAGGTTGGGTCCTCCCCCTCCTGGACCTCCCCCTCCCCTGTGATGGGACAACAGAGGAGCCAGGGCCTGCCCTACGCCCCTGAACCCGGGCCAGGTACTTCTGCGTATTCCTGCCTTCTTCCCGGCAGCGTACATGTAGGGACCCGACCCCCAAGGCCCAGCCCAGATCCCCACACGGGGCCGGCCACCCCAACACCCCGAGCCCCCAGGCCCCCACCCAGACCCACCCAGGGGCAATGCAGCCGCCAGGCAGTGACCCATGGCCGCCGCCAAGACCTCCAAGGGGCCCCACTCACAACCGCCAGCAGTACACCCCCCGAGGCAACCCAAGCACCTCCAGAGGGGGGGAACGGCCCCCCAGTGCCAGACATCCCCAGTGAACCCATCCCCAGGGAACATCCAGATACTCCAAACTCAGACCCTCCACCCCCCCACCCACATCATCCCGCAGGACATCATCAACGGCCCCCCATCACCGCTATGTGATGGAACCGATCAAAGGAGCCCAGAGAGATTTATTTGAAGTGGAAGCAGAGGCTAAATCAAGTGCAATATGATCTAACAAAAGATTTCTATACTGGTTAATGCAGAGATTTTCTCTATTTTTCCAATTCAAGAGGATAGTTTTCTTAGCGATGCATATGGCAGTCAGAACCACGTGAACCAAAGATTTTTCAATCGGGACATCATCCAGGTTTCCCAGTAAACAAAGAGAGGGGGTGATTGGGATATGACATTTCAGAGACTTTGACAGGTCTTCACATACTCTACCCCAAAATTCCTGGACAGGTGGACAGGACCACAGTGCATGAACGTAATTGTCAGGAATGTTGTTTGTGCAGTGTGTACAGATGTCAGACGACACAAACCCCATCTTGAACATCCGATGACCTGTATAGTGTACTCTGTGTAGAACTTTGTACTGAATTAATTGTAAATTGGGGTGTCTGATCATTTTAAAAGTTTTTAAACAAGTTTGGGACCAGAAGTTCTGGTCAAAGCTGACTGATAGATCCACCTCCCATTTTTCAATAGGGATTGCTATTCTATCGTCTATTTTGGACAGTGTCTTATATACTTTAGACAGTAGTTTAGGGGGTTTGAGATTGCAGAAGTCTAAAACCCTTGGCGGGGTTTGTAATTCTATTTTATTGAGCTTAAATTTTTGTTTGACTACAGATTTGATTTGGTGGTATTCTAAAAAGCTATTCTTTTCTATTCCAAATTGGGAGACTATTCTATTAAATGGGATGAAGTCCAATCCTTCATATATGTTTTCCAGGTATAGGATTCCTTTATTTTTCCAGTCCAGAAGGTTCATCATTTTATTATTTTGCAAAATATCAGGATTATTCCAGATAGGTGTGCGTCTGCATGGTACTAGTGAAGACTCTGTCATTTTAAGATACTCCCACCATGCTGTCAGAGAAGTGCTGATACTAATACTTTTGAAGCCTTCATGTTTTCTTACGCTTGAGCTAATAAATGGTAAGTCTGAAAGCTCTATCGTATTGCAAATTGTCTGTTCTATGTCTAACCAGGACTCATCTAGTGGGTTATCTTGCAACCATCTTGGTATATATTGCAGCCTGTTGGCTAAAAAATAATAATAAAAGTTGGGTAGATCCAGTCCTCCTCTGTCTTTGCTCTTCTGAAGCGTTTTTAAGCTAATTCGTGGAGGTTTATCCTGCCAGAGGAATTTAGTAATTGAGGAGTCCAGAGATCTAAACCAGTCAGCTGGTGGTTTGTTTGGGATCATTGAAAATAAGTAATTTATTCTGGGTAAGACCATCATTTTAATTGTAGCAACTCTTCCCATCAGTGATATTGGTAAGGATTTCTATCTAGCAAGATCATCCTCCACTTTCTTTAAAAGTGGGATGTAGTTTAATTTGGTTAGATCTGCTAACTTGGGAGAGACATTAATTCCCAGGTATGTGATATTACCTGACTCCAGTTGAGTATTAAGTAAATTGACAAAAGAGAAATTAATTGGTAGAACTGTTGATTTTAACCAGTTTATAGAGTAATCTGAAACTTTTGAAAAAGAGTTTATCAGTTCTATTGAATGAGACAGAGACGATTGAGAATTCTGGAGGAAGAGTAAAACATCATCTGCATAAAGACTGATCTTATGTTCTATTTTATTACACTTTATCCCTTTAATACCTGTTGTTTGCCTAATTGCTGCTGCTAGTGGTTCGATAAAGATAGCAAACAGTGAGGGGGAGAGTGGGCATCCCTGCCTGGTCCCCCTCTGAAGACAGAAGCTAGCTGATATTTGGTCGTTCGTCCTAACACGTGCAATTGGCGAACTGTATAATGTTTGTAGCCAGTTTATGAAGAAGTTCCCAAAACCAAATTTATGTAAAGTTGCAAATAAGAACTTCCAGTTAACTCTATCAAAAGCCTTTTCTGCATCTAGAGATAATATACTACGCTGTTTTCTCCGCAGGGGGGATTCTGGCAACATCAGAAGCAGATCTTTTAAATCCTGGAAGTTATTTGAAGAAACCTCGATGGCTCAGACTTATTTGTCCAGAGCCTTCCAAGAATTGGACTCAGGTCTGGAGAATCCAGAGTCTAGCTTGCTCTTGAAGCGTTTCTGCAGCAAATCGGAAAACACGATCCTGCTGAAAGGCTTCTATGGTAAATGGCCTGTTTATGTATAGAGACTTCTTAGAGTTCAACAACCCCCCAAGGTGCTTTACAACACAACCAGTCATCCACCCATTCACACACATTCAACTCTGGTGGGGATGAGCTACGCTGTAGCCACAGCTGCCCTGGGGCGCACTGACAGAAGTGAGACTGCTGAACACCAACGCCACCGGTCCCTCCGACCACCACCAACAGGCAAGGGGGGTTAAGGGTCTTGCCCAAGGACACAACAGCAGCATTCTCTGGTGAGAGCTGAGATCAAACCTACAACCTTCCGATTACGGAACAACCCGCTCTGCCTCCTGAGCTACCGTGGCCTCCCTCTAGCTTCATGGGCACGATTAGCATCAGCATTAGCATCCATAGGGAGCCTTTGTCTCCTCCCCTTCTGGTGAGCTCATGATCCCCCTGACTGAAAATAAAAACAAGAATGTAAGCGAATGAAGCTATAAAAGTTATTTTCTGGTCCGCTTTGGTTTATGCCCTGAATCACATAAATGTGTTCCTTCATTATAAATAAAAAAATTATTATGTGTGTTAACAGCCTGTCAAGGAAGCTCGTAAAAATCCGTAAAGAACAAGACAACAAATCACAAGTCGCTTATATGATGCAGAGTCTCCTCCCCCCCAGCGAAGCTGCTTCTTTCATGGTCAGATTCATAGTCATTCATAGAAGGATGCAAAGCTTACAAAGCTCACAGCCATCTTCTTCTCCTTGTGTGGTCTGATGACAGAAAGTTGGTGAGATGAGCAGCTACGGGTTTTCACCATCGACATATACATGTATGGACAATAGGTTTCCATAGGCTCCAATAACACGTTTTTGAGGATAAATGGGAGGTGGCCACCACCGCCATTTTGACCGTGTCACAGGTTCCGTCAAGCCCAGACAATTCCACAAAAGGGAAGAGAGGTGGAGCTGAGGGTGTGGCTGTAAGGCTGGGATCAACTGACGACACCCGGTCGAACTAGCTACAAGCTAACCTGAAGCTAACCCAAAGCTAACACAGAGGTGGGAGCTAAGCTGACGAAGGTAGCAACCTAGCTACAACTGGAGTTAACTGTGCACATCACCAGAGCTTCTGAGTCAGAGATACGCCGGGCTGACCGCTGGGTAAAACCGGGTGGAACACAGAGGTCTCCGAGACCTCCACAAGCCGGCAGCCGCACAGCAGACAAGCGCCGCTGCTATCTGAGATGCGCCGAGCTGTGGCCTTTCCCTGGAGCTAGCTCTGTGGTCACGTGGGTCTGATGCTCATTAATTATACAGAGTTTTAGGCTTTTAATACATTTAAACAGAAGAGTGAGAAAAACATTCACCCCCCTCAGAGTTGTCATGAGTGTAAACTAGATCATTTAAACCAAAAACATGTTCTGGTACCAGGCTGTAAACACGTTTATTTCTGCAGTGAAATTGGTATTTTTAACATGGGAGTCAATGAGGATTTGCTCGCTTCTGACACCAGCCCCTAGTGGATGAGAGTGGAACTGCAATTTTTGGTACTTCCGGGTTGGCCTCAATTTCTGCGATCGACTGGCAACTTGTCCAGGGTGTACCCCCGCCTGATTGCCCGTTGACCGCTGGAGATAGGCACCAGGCACCCCCCCCCCCCCCCCCAACCACCACCACCACCCCGCGACCCTGCGTGGACAAGCGGGTTCAGAAGATGGATGGAGGGATTGGCCTCAATTTCTGTCCCGCATTATGGGGACTTGGTTTTCACACAAAACCCAAAGAAACTTTTGCCCACTGTTGAAACAACATCACATGTGAAATCTAAGGCACACGTTAAACAGGACCAGAAAATAACTTTTGCTGGTCTATTGGCTCCTATTTATTTATAGGAGTAGTGTAGTGTAGCAGGAGTGCAGTAGGGGACACATGGACAGGAAGTAGATGGGCGTGACTTAAGCTCTCCCTTTGTTGGGAAGCCAGGAAAACTGTCAACATAAATGATAAGATCTAAGATCTTCCAGCAGAACTTGGTCCAAAGCAACACACACACCCCTACAAAGTGTCTTTTACCCACAATGCATCTGGTGCCAGGACCTTTAGAGGAATAGACAAACATAAACCTGACCATCCACTTGATATAAACATGGCTCTGGTTCTGGAGTCAAATCCAGTAAGACTTGAGTGTGTGACCATGGGGCGGAGCTCCTTCGTGATGTTATTAACGAATGTCTAAGAATGCTTGTGATAAGGTTCTGATAGAACCTCAGTGGTTACCAAAACCTTCTGCATGTTTCTACCTGGACTTCCATCAAAACTGACACCTTCAGTCCCTTCGTCTCCAGTATCCCCAACAAAACCTCGAGGTCCTGCAGAAGGAGAAGAGAAGACATGAAGATAGTGTCTTGATGCGTAATGTAGTCGTGATGCACAAAGGGTAAGTTGGCTAAGGGACCTTGTGGTCCAGGCGGTCCTGGGAATCCTTTCTGACCCACGTCTCCTTTAAGTCCATCTGGTCCTCTGATGCCTGGATAACCTTTGGGACCTGGAGGACCTGGGAAACCTGGGTGGGAAACAGATGAGAGGTTAAACAAAGAGGTGAACAAACAGAGGCGACTCGTGGATCTTACCTGGTACTCCAGGATCTCCCGTTTGTCCTCGAGCACCGGGGTTTGGCCGCACGCAGGAAAGAGTGTCACCTGTAGGAAGGGGAGGAGCCAAACAGAAGATCAGGGGTTTTCACAGGTGGACACTGAAGAAAGCCAGGAATTGTTTCATGTTCAAAACATCTTCACTAACCAAGAGGTCAATTAGATTTGATTCTAGTTTGGGTTCTGGCGGGTTCTAACTGGTTGCAGCTGAGCCTGCCAGGTCCTAGGAGGTTCTAATTGGATCTGGCTAGTTCAGACTAGGTTCTGTGTTCCAGCAGGTCTGCAGACACCTCTGACTGAAGACTCTAGAGGCTCCAGAGCCGTCCGCTGGACCAAACCAGCCTTCTTTTCCGACCATTGGCTCTGATGCTGCTGCCCCAGCAGAGGACTTCAGATCAGGTTGTCTACATAGCAGACTCATAAAAGATCTAGAACGTTATAGAAGTTTCTAAAACACTGTTTTACGCCATTCTCTCCAGTGTCTCCCATGTCCGCATCGTAGAAAAGTCCTAAAATCTTCATTTGGGAGATGGAAACTAACCCGAACCATCTCAGTCAAACTTTTTTACCTTTAAAGCTGGTTCTCTTTTCTGTCCTCCCTCACCTTTCTGCCCCTTCGGCCCCTGAACACCAGGAAACCCAGCAGGTCCAGTGAGACCAGGATGTCCACGCTGTCCCACAGCACCTGGCACAGCCGCTCCTGGAGGACCTGGTGGGCCCAAAAGTCCTTTCTGTCCTGGAAATCCCTGGACGCCTTGGTCTCCCGGAACACCAATCAGGCTTTCACCCTGAAAAGAAGCAGACGAAGAGGTCAAAGGTCAGAAGTAAATTGTAGGACAACAGTGCCTCCTGGAGGTTGCAAACTTTTATACAGGTACAACAAATTATTTCTAGACGTTCTCTCTTCTTCAGGAGGTTCTGAACCCATCCTGATGAGAGCATCTGGAGGAAGGAGAGGAGGAGGTCTTAGCCTCCTAATTTGTTACCTCAGAGACCTGCTTCTAGAAGGACAAAGATGATAATTGGATGTTCATTAAACCTGTAGTTAGAAACGAGAGTGAACAGGACGTTTTGAGGGACAGACCTGAAGGCCCGGGTTCCCTGGGGCTCCTGGATTCCCACTAAGTCCATTTCTCCCGGAGAATCCTCGAACACCAGCTGGGCCCACAGGGCCCATGTTTCCCTTCTCACCTGGAGACCAAAGCGTTGGATAAAAACTGATATTATTATTATTGAACTAATGTTAATGTCTTGACTGTTAAACATCTGGTGCCTTATTAAACGTAGCTTCATCCTGTTGATAGATGCCAGGCTCCAGTAGGTCTTACAGGGAGGATGACCTTGCCTTGGAACCAACATTTATCAGTAAAACTCCCTTGAGAAAGTCTAGCAATGGCTTTGTTCATTTAGGGTGCACCCGGAGAAAGTTCAGACTCCCTTTACAGCTTTCCCGCCTGAGAGTCTAACCCCTTCTTTCCACCGGAGCCGTCAGCAGCGCGAGTCGGCCGCGTCTCAGGAGCAGCATGTCGCGGCCCTTACGCGCCGGTTCTATTTTCTACGAGCGACGCCTCTGAAACGGGTCAAGTTTGACATTTTCGGGGAACCCCTGCTTTCCACCGGAGCCGTCAGCAGCACGTCCTGCTCGCGTAAGCTGCTGCTTGGCCCTTCCCACGAGACGCGAAGCAGCAGGGGAGCAGCTGTCACCAACAGAGCACGAAGTCACACGAGTGACTTCGTCAGTAAACACAACAACAAGCAGGAGAAAACTACAACATGGCTCCAAAAGGTTTGTGTTTTATGTTCTGTCCGTTTTATAATCGCCAATACGGACCTGAAAAACAAAGGAGACCGCTAGCTAGGTGATAACTTCTCACGGGGCCGCACAGTTTTTTTTTTAAGTAAAGCGACCGGAAGGCAGTACGTTTCTTTATTCTGAAAATCTCAGGAAGCTTCGCTCCGTTTCCGCGTCCGATTTCCTGTCTTTCCTTCTGTGTGTGCTTAATAAATGCTTTTGGAAGGCGTTAGTCTGATGAGAGTGAACTGCAACCTTGTCTGGTGTGCATCTTTCCTCTCCACTTTGCGAAGTCTAAATTGATTGTTTATGATTGGTATTGATTGATTACTATAACCCCCTGTGCTTTAAACTTTCCCTAAGGTAATCTTGGATTGATAAAATTACCCAACACAAAGACAGAATCAGAACCACTGATGCATCAACGTGTCTAAATAAAGAGCATTTGTTTCTACAAGTGAAACTCAAAAAGTATGAATATGGTGCAAAAGTTTCTTTCTTTCAGTAATTCAGACCGAGAAACCGTTTCAAGGCTCAGGAACACTGCAGGTGCTTTGGATAAATTAGAGTGTGACACTTTCAGCAACAAATAAAGGCTTGAAAAATCTCCCGTCGCAAGTAATGAGTCTATTGGGCCATTCCCATCTGTACCGGGTCGGCCCGGGCCGGGTAGCGTAGGTTGTTTACATATCTGGGTGGCCTGGTATTTTTCCGGGCCAACCAAGGCTCATTCTCAGCCCTCTTCTCGAGGGGGTCTGCTTCAGGCCGACCAGGGCCAACACACCCACTGCTGACAGCAAATTCACACCTTCCATTAGAGCAAGCCTCTGATTGGTGGGTAGAATCAGCCCACATGGGCTTAAGGCAAGGATGTGTGGAATCAACCGGGCCAGGCTGGGGCCGACTGGGGCTACCCGGCCCGGGCCGACCCGGTACAGTTGGGAATGGCCCATATCTCACCTTTTAAGTTGAATTTCTGAAGTAAATTAACTTTTGCACGATTAAGTTTGGCCTTTACCTTTATGGACGAGCTGTTTGGGGATTTAACCCTTTAAGCGCCAAAGTCGCAGAACAGCGACAAGCAGCATTGTTGGATTTAATAAGCCACAGCAGCAGAAATGAGCCCTCAGGCAGTTAATACGTAACACTGCGGGGTGGCAGACGCCTGTAACTTCAATCCAAGCAACATTTGTGGGTGTGGTACTATTCAAACTTTTCGAGTATTTAGAACTTGAGCCCCGCCCACCAGTCGCAGAGCCGCAGAGGTTGTCAGAGCAGTCAGAGAGTGAGAGCGAGCGAGTGGTAGAGGAAAAAAAAACACAATGCCGAGAGGAATGTTCAGTGCTGACGAAGCTCTTCGTCTGGTACTGGCAGATTCGGACTCGGAGGAAGAATATTTCCTGTCCGAGGATGATCTGCCGTCTTCTAGCGAGACGGAAAGTGTGGCTTCAGCGCGCAGCAACAGAGTCCGTCAGCGACGACACGGTTACACAAGCAGCCCATCAAGCCCTTATCTTGTCCGATGTTCCGCGTCGGGCAAAGAGACGTGGTGGGGGGGCTCGTACCGGGTCTGATCCTTTGATCCACCGTGCCAGGGGGAGGAGGATGTGGTGGCGGTGATCGGGCCAGTGAAAACTCCGCTGGTGAT